TGGTAAATATTTTTGGCTTTAATGGCCATATAGTCTCTGTTGCAACTATTCAACTCTGCCACTGTAGCACAAAAGCAGCCATAGACAGCACATAAATGAATGGGCACATCTGTGTTCTACTAAAGCTTTATTTACAAAAACAGATTGTGCGTTGGATTAGACCTGCAAGCCATAGTTTGCTGACCCCTGCTTTACAGCAAACAATAAAATATGCTGTTATTTTCTCTGCATACTACTTTATGCAGTTGGCAGTACTGCCACTCCCCCGATTTCCAAGATAGAGGTTCAAGATTATTTATGATATTTCTGTCTTCTCTCACACTGAAATTGTTGCTACATTTTGTCACCCTTTTTCTCCACCTTTTGGTCACTTCCTTTCTCCATCAAAGTTAAAAAAAAAAATCACCCTTACTAACTTCCATTGTAAAGTGTTGCTTCTAATTGTTTTGTTCTAATTTGGTTTGACCACATCAGCCCTACTATATCAAGTCTCTTTCCTGATATGACTAATTTTTTCCATGTCCTTCAATACATATATTATATTGCCATAGTAGAGTCTGGTTGCGGTGCTAACTTTTTTCAGCCAATTTTATATATGCCTAGGGTCAAGTCATGTTACCCATACTATTAACTAGCACTATAAATGTCTAATATAACTGTATTAGTCTTCTATTGCCATGCAACAAATTACCACAAATTTAGTCGCTTATCATCTCACAGTGTCTTTTTTGTTTTGTTTTGGTGGTGGCTGGCTGGTATGGGGATCCAAACCCTTGACCTCGGTGTTATAACACCTTGCTCTAACCAGCTGAGCCAACCAGCCAGCCCACAGTGTCTTTGGATTAGGAATCTGGGCACAACTTAATTAGATCCTCTTCTCAGGGTCTCTTAAGGCTTCAATCAAGGTGTTGGCCAGGGCTACAGTCTCATCTGAGGCTTCAGGTTCTCTTCCAAGCTCATTTCGGTGGTTGTTGGCAGCACTGATTTCCTTACAGATGTAGAATTTATGATGGCTTATTTCTTGGCAGAATATCTCTGAGCTCAGAAAAGGACTATGCTCTCTTTTATAGGGCTCACCTGGTTAGATCAGGCTCTTCAGGATGATCTCCTTTTGATTGACTCAAAAGTCAACTAATTAAGGGCCTTAATTATATTTTCAGAATCCCTTCACCTTTCCCATACAATATAACATAATCACAAGAGTGATAATCAAACGTATTCAAAGTTCCTGCCCATACTTAAGGGGAAGAGATTAGATGAGGTATGTATACTAGGGAGCTAGGAATCCTGGAAGCCTTGTTAGAATTCTCCCTACTACAGTAACACAGACTGACTTATGAGACTATGAGTTTGCTCTTCCAAGTCTGTATTTTAAAAGACACTGTAATACATTCAAAATTCATACATGGGAAATAATAACAATCTAAACAATGGAAATATTCAATTGTTGGGACTATTTTTAAGACTGTGATGTCAATCCTATAATAAGTCTCTATTTTCAGGATGAAACTGAAACTACCATTTTGATTAAAATTTATTCTATCTATTATTGGCATAGTGGATTTTAAATTAAGTAAGCTAGAAGAAGGGGTGGATTTCAAATGAGCAAATAAAAAAGCATTTATCAGCATTTTCCTCTTTATTATTTTCATAAGTGGAGATTTATTAGTTTAACCCGCTTTGCTGTATTCTTCCTGAAATGTGCCGTGTTCTTATATCCTGGTATTGTTAGGGTTGAATTCATTCTCACAGCGAGTGACCCAGTATTTGAGAGTTTCTTCCATTAGCATTGAATATATGATATTTGAAAAGAAGCTGTGACTGAAAATAAATGACTATAATTAAATATAACAGTGAATAGAATGTCAGTTCAAACAATATCAAGGAAAGTTTCTAAAGGGAGCATTTTGTTGATTGTGGAAGGGTTTTCTAAAAGAAAGATTGGCTATTTTATTTATTTATTTTTATTTTATTTATTTATTTATTTTTATTTTTGTCTTTTTTGTGACTGGTAAGGGGATCGCAACCCTTGGTGTGGTGTCGCCCGCACCACGCTCAGCCAGTGAGCACACTGGCCGTTCCTATATAGGATCCGAACCCGCGGCGGGAGCGTCGCTGTGCTCCCAGCGCCACACTCTCCCAAGTGCGCCACGGGGTCGGCCCTTGGCCATTTTAAATAGCCTGAATAAAACAGTAGTAAATATCCTGTAGGATATATCCTGCTTTTTTTAAAAAAAAATATATTAATTGACATAATTCTTCTTTTCCAGATATGAGAACTAGACTTGTTTTTGAGTTGGAGAAAGGAGAGGAATTGTATTTTTATTAGAATTTTGGTTAACTATGAGCTTCTAATCATGGTAATGATTTAAATGATTGTGAAAGATTAGAAAGCCTCAAGTATTACAAAACAAGCATTATTTATAGTCTCCTTTATTCCATTATGAAAGGAATGCTTATGGTTATAAAGAATTTTTGTACAGTCCTATCTTTAAATTCTTTTACACCCCCTACTCCTCAAATCTACTCTGATGTTGTCTTCAACTAGTAAACTGACTTTTCTAGTGGTCTGCCTTCAGCTCCTTTTCAAACATTCATGAGTTTCACTAGACATATTAAGATATTACTAACCCAGCTCCTCAGGATGCACATTTTGAATTGTGATTTTTTTGTCTTTTTATTTTCGAATAATAGGATATATTATTTAAACGTGTAGTAACATTTAAGTGAGTTATTAATGTAGGTTAATGGACAGTATACTGTACCGGAAAGCAAAGACCCGAGGTTTAACACTAGATATATTAATAGCTAGTGGTGTTCAGTGGAACAGTAAACCCCTGAAATGCTCTGGTAAAAAAGGGTTCTGGAGCAAAAAAACTTGGAATCAACTAAGCATTTTAAGAAATGCTGCATGTTATTCACAATAGCCGAAAAGTGAAAGCAACCTGGGGCCCATCAGCAGGTAAGTGGATAAAGAAAATGTGGCATGTATACACCATGGGATATGATGCAGCCTTTAAAAGGAAGGAAATCTTGATATTTGTGACATGGATGAACCTGGAGGACATTATGCTAAGTGAAATTATC